GCTCAAAGGTTATGCTTTGGTGAACAAGTATCTGTCTGCCACTGATCCTAAGTTCTTGGCCTTCATTTCTGCTGTTGAAAATGAAGATGATGAAACTGAAGATGATGAAGCTTAAGATGCAGATTAAATTCTCATCTCTTTCATTACTTTTTTTTGGTAATGTAATATAACTCCCTTAGGAGTTACTACTAATATTTTGTATTGTAACACTTTTAACTCCTTGTGAGTTTTGTGACATATTATTAGGAATTTTAAGTTCTGTTTTAAAATTTGGTAGTAATTTATTTTTGTATTTCTAGATAACAAACAAACAGCAAAAAAGGAAGGTTATATATGATTTTTGAATTAAATGTAGTCACAAAATCGTTGCTAATGAATCGCAAAACCGTCACAAAATAGACGCAAATTAACATATTACTCGTCTCATATCAACAACACAGTCGCTAATTAGTCGCTAAAAGAGTATGAAATCAGTCGTTATGTAGTCGCTAATTTAACGACTATTTTCCGACTGTATACTTAACAATTAATCAGCGATTACATTTTCCCGTCAACATAACGTCTAACAACTCGTCGCAAGTTAGTCTATTAACAGTCGTTAATTTTGCGACTGCTCAGAGACTCTTTTGCAACATTTTCCCGTAGTCGTAACATAGTCGCAAAAAAGTCGTAAATTAACGACCGATTAACGACATATTGTTTTTGCGACACTGAATTTGGCGACGACGTGTATCAGTCGTAATGTAGTCGTTAAATCACTTTTAGCGACTGATTTGTTACTGATATTGCAGTCGGAAATTTCGTGTTTTCTTGTAGTGGTTGACTTGGTGATCGTTGGAGAAGCATGAGGACATGACAGTAGCAGTCACTTGTTGATTCTCTTTGCCTCAATGATCTATGGCTCACAAAAAGCATGATCATGATTAGATCGATATAAGCCAAAAGAAATAACCAACTTTTGCATAATTAATAAGCAAGCAACTCATTTCATAAAAGTTCTACGAGAATGGGCAGCCTAGAATTGTTTAATAATTTAAGCCAAAGCTATAATGTCAACCATAACCACATACCTAATATAAAAGTGATTAAAGCATGAAATTATTTAATAAGAGAGCCTATCTTTGTGAAGAAGAAACAAGCCTCTGTAGTTGCTGAACTTTCACTACAAAGGAAATAGGTAAAGATAGCATAAGAAGATTGCGTTTTGGTCAAGAATGCTATCTTTGATATAGCTTTTTTTTAAGATAGCATTTTATAATGTAAATGCTATGTTTTATTTTCTTAAACGCTATCTTTACCGTGATCTCATGTATGTTGGTTGTTCTATTCCGGTCTGGATTTCCAGACCACCTCAAGCTTGAGTAATAGACCAGCTTTTCGTTGTCAAAAAAAAAAAAAAAAAACGCTATCTTTAGTCTAGGCCAAAAAATAATTTTATTTTCTCGCTAAGTACTTAGTGAAAAAAGAAGGGGCTGAAATTGTTTTGTTTTCCGTCTTATTTTTAGTTGGGAAATTGGGCTGTATAGCAAGAGAAAAAAAATTAATTGGGCCACTAGCTATAAACCCTAACGGACACGATCACACCGTTACTTTTATAAATTATTCCTATATTCTCCTTTATTTTCACCGGTTTCACCGGACGAAAAAAGTCTTCATTTATTCTATTGATTTCGCCTGTAACTTCGTGTCTTATCCCCACTCCACCAATTCTTTCACAGTAACTTCTCTCTGTCGAACCATCTCCCACAAAACCCTCTCTTACTCTTTACAAACCACGACTTCCTCTTTACAAATCGGCTTCTTCTCTGCCAAATTCATCTGTTCAACAAGCGAACGCTTGCTCGATCTTTGTACTCGGCACAAGCGACCGCTTGCTCGATCTTCTCCGTCGTCCTCCGCACCGTCTCCATCTCCGTCATCTCTGTCGTCCTGCGCACCTTCTCCATCTCCTCCGACACTTCAATTGAAAGCTTCCTCGATCTCCACTCCGAATCCCCAAAAATGTAAGTTCTCTCTTTCTTCCGTTCACTATCCTCTTATTGTCAAATCTATTTGTACTTTCTATTGTGAATTACTCTGTTGTGGTGATGTTGAATCTAAAGTCATCCTACTAACTAACTTTGCTGAATTACTGTCTCAATTTTAAACGGAATGGAATAGAATTCTTAAATTTCCATACTTTTTTGATGATAGATGGCGTGGGACATAAATAGTACCATTGTTTGTCTACTTAACATCGCCTTCCATACTTCTTTGCTGTGTTCTTTTTGCATGCCTCCATTGCATACTTAGTACGATGCAAGGTTGATTATAAATATCTATACCATATGGACAAGTATATCTATTCCATTCCAAGTATATAGAAAACTGTCATTTATGTCTACTCCATATAGTATGAATGAATTATTATATATATACATAGGTTGTGTTTCAATCCACCTATTGTCTCCATTATTTCCTCTTCTGTCAAATGGCTTGAATATAACACTTTAGGATTCAGTTTACATAGACTTTGATACTTGTTCTTCTTCTTCCGTTTGTATACTTCTTCTTGTTCTTTTGTTTGTATATAATTTGGTTCATGGTTTATGATTTTTAGTGTTTATATTTGAGTGTATGGGTTATATTTGGTTGAGGGATTACTTATTAAAGTTTTGTTTTTACTATTTACAGTTATAAGTGGGATCAAAATTAACATACTAAATGTACTCATAAATTTATAATAATTCCATACCATTGCGTACTATGTTATTTGACTATCTTCCATTCCATTTGATGTAGCGTACTATGTTATTTGAATATCTTCCATTCCATTTGATTTAGCGTTTACCTGAGGTGTTTGGTTTACATTTGGGTTGATGGTTTATATTTTGGTATACTGTTAACCTCAAGATTTTTAGTGTTTATATTTGAGTGTATGGGTTATATATTGGTTTATATTTTGGTTTAGCTTTACGAATCCGAAACCTCATGATTTTTAGTGTTCATAATTGACTGTATGGGTTATATTTGGTTGAAGGGTAACTTTTTAAAGTTTAGTTTTTACTGTGATCAAAATTAACATACTAAATGTACTCAGAAATTTATGATAATTCCATTCCATTGCTTACTATGTTATTTGACTATGTTCTATTCCATTTGATGTAGCTTTTACCTGAGGTTTTGGTTTACATATTGGTTGATGGTTTATATTTTGGTTTATGGTTAACTTATTTGCGCTTATGGTTTAATATTTACTGGTTCTATTATTCCATACATTTGACATTTTGGTTAATATACGTGATAGAGAACATCGGATTTATTATATATATAGTGTTTTTTTATTGGATACATAGTCCATTCCATGTTGAATGGTTTACTACTTTGATTGGAATGGAAAGTCTGTCAATATGTTCCATTCTGGATGGAACTGAACTTCAGTAGTATGCATTCCTGGTTGTTCGATTCCACATGGATTTTTTCTGCAATATTATATGTTCGAGCTGCTTCACTTTACCATCACGTTTACTTTGATTACATCATTGTATATCTATTTTATACTAACTATCTTCCCCTCATTTTTTTGTTAGGTCTGACATGGACGATTTGGGCCTTCCAAGTAAATTGTTCGCCACAGGGTTTGAACCCACTGGAAAGAGAAGGGTAAACAACTATTTCAACCTCCGTTGGATAGAAGTGATAAAGGGTGCATTAGAAGATGAGGACCTTGCCCTGTTGAATGCTTCTCAGTTTGGTCAAGTAATGCGGATGGGGTCCCATACGTTTTCTGTTGTGTTTCTCCATTATCTGCTATCACGTCAGTTGGTGATTGCAAAAGAGTTTGAGCTGTGTTGGCTCTTTGTAGGGAAACCGATTCGCTATGCTATTCAAGACTTTGCGCTTGTAACTGGTCTCAATTGTGGGGAAATAATTGAGACAGATAACCGAGGGAAGGGTAAGGGTGTAGGAGGGAAGTGTAGCGGAAAAGGTCAGTCCTCGACTTCGTCTACGGCCATCTGGGATGTTCTTTTCCGTGGGGAGGAAAAGCCCACTACTAGCTGGGTAATGGATCGGCTTCTTAAGGGGAAAAAATACAAGGACCCTTTAACCCGTCTTCGCTTGGCATTGTTGGTTCTGGTTGACGGTATTTTGTGTCCCACTTGTGGCACAACAAATATCCGACCTGAAGTTGTCCGTATGCTCGGTAATCTGGATGAGTTCCTGGAGTATCCTTGGGGACGTGAGTCGTTTCTCCTCACCGTTAGAAGTACAAAATCACGTTCTCCCAGTAATTATGTGCTACAGAACACAATGGCAGTTCAAGGATTTGCACATGCAATGGTTCTTGTTACGCTTGCGGCGTGTCCTACGATCCTCGTTAAACCGGGTTCAGTTGGCCCCGGGTTTGATGAATGTACAAGCAGTGAAGATATTGTGCGTGAATTGGTTGATAAGAAGTTGACGGTAAACTTCGTCTCAGCCAAAGCTGTGGACCAAAAGGGGCAGGTAAAATTGTGTTTATGTTGGCCTTTTTTCAGGAACTGTTAAGGGTGGTGTACCTCTATTGCTTTATTCACATAAGACATTTGTTTACTGAAATGCAGGCATATGTACGATCTTTGATTTGTTCGGATGAACGTGGTGACGAATTGTATCGCAGTTTGAAAGACAAAGAAGACGAATCCGTTGATCAGCTGATCTCATTAATTGGTGATGAGTACGAGTTTGAGCATAACACATGGTCTGGCGGTGTTAAAGAAGATGATGTGAAGGTGATTAAGAGTCATCCAGAGCTGCGAGAATCCAGTGACGGTAACGATTCTTCTGATATGGATAAGGAATATGAGAAGGAAAGAAGGGGATCTGGTGTCCGACATTCTCGAGAAGCAAGAGGCCAACCATTTAGGAGTCATGATGAGGGAGCAAATGGTGGCCAGCCTAGCTCTGCCGGTGTGGCTGATTTGGTTAGACTAGCTGCTCAGGCGTTTGAATCACAGCTACTACCTATGTTTGAGGGGTACATGGATAGTATGAAAGACCACATATTTTCGGAATTCCAAACCATGAAGAATGAAGTTTCCTCTGCGCGTGCGTCAATTGCCTCGTTGGAAACTTTTGTTAAGGCAGAGTTTGCGAATCTACAAAATCCCTACGGGAATGGTGGTATGTATGGTGAGGACCCAATTGGTGGATACAGCGCACGAATGCCCCAACCCGGAAGACAAGGGATGGGTCATGATCAATGGCCAAGTCCAAGGGATGAAGAAGGTCGTCAGGTATGGAATGGAACATACATGTTCTCTATTACTATTCCATTTGTAGTTTCAAATTATTCTATGCTAGCCACTTCTGAAGTATTCCATATGAGCAATTGGAGTTGGGTTGACCATGTCTTTCTTACCTTTTTCCAGGGGTTTTTTTCCACTGATAAGGGATGTGCTGCTACTGGAAGTCAAACCCCAGACTACGTGTCTGAGGTACATTTAGAATGCCAAACTCATCCTTGTTATTTGTCCCTTATGTACTCTCAAATAATTCTTTATGTATATGGTAGCTTACGGGGGCCCGGGATAAGTCGATTGTGAACCCCCCAGTGGCGTCCTCTGTACTCGGTGGTGAGGTAAGTTTATAACAATGGAACTTACCTTTTTCTATAGTGATTTCTTCCATTCCATATTGACATAGCACCGTGTAACCTTTCAGTAAGTTTAACCTTTAATTTTGGCATCACTTCATATTAACCAGTTACAGGAACCTGACGAAAATGTCAATGATGTGTCCACCAAGCTGGTGGTCTCTCCACTGCACACCTCGTCTGCTCCTGGAGATGGAGTTCAAAAAGTAAGAGAATCCAATTTCATCTATAAGTTGTTTTCCATACCAACTAGTGTTATTTAAATTAGACAATATATCATTCCATACTTAATCCATTCTTTTTATTGCATGGTTCATTCAATTTAGAATACATCAATTTGTCAAATCTATCTTTTCTTTCAGTAATTTCTTGTTAACATAGGACTAAATTTGTCTCTGTGTCCTTCTCTATATACTACAGGAATCCATAGCTGTTACCTCAGAAGTAGCAGACATACATACAGAAGATCCTCCTCTGTCAAATCTCGAAAGTAGCATAACCTAAGCAGAGATTGTGGTCTCAGCTGTTCAGCAGGTGATATTCGGGCAAGAAATTATGATCCATGTTTGCACGTTCATGTGTTTTTCGTACATGTCTCATCTTGTTTTCTCGCACAGGGACCTCCAACGTTCAGTCCTGCAGAGAATACTCATGTTGTACAGGTATAGTTCTGTTTCCATTCTATTTAGAGCAGATATCATTCCATACATATTCCATTCTATTTAAGTTAGACAAGATGTCATTCCATACGTTTTCGATTCTATTTATTACATGGGCCATTCCATTTAGAGTACATCTAATAAAAATACATTCCCTTCTTATTCCATCAACTTGTCAAATCCATCTTTTCTTTTAGTCATTTCTCATTAACATTTGACTACATTTGTCTTCATGTCCTACTCCCTATAATCTAGGAATCGACGGCTGTTACCTCAGTAGTATCAGACATACACACGGAAGCTCCTCCGGTGTCAAATTTCGAAAGTAGCACTAGCCAAGCAGAGATTGCGGTATCAGATGTTCTTCAGGTGATCTTCGGGCAACAAATTATGATCCATTTTGCACGTTCATGTGTTATTCGTACATGTCTCATGTTGTTTTGTCGCACAGGCACCTCCAACGTCCAGTCCTGCAGAGAATACTAATGTTGTTGAGGTATAGTTCTGTTTTTATCTCCCCTGCTTTTGTCAAATATGTTAACGTAGATGCATTGTAGGCACCTTCCTCCGCTGATATGATGGTAAATCAATTTGACGATCTCGCGAAGGGAACGACCGGCAGCCCCACGTGTGACACAACTAAAATTGTTCCACACATTGTCTCTACCTCGGCCCAAGAGGTATAACATAAACCCAACCATAAAGCATTGAAGCATGAATAATTAACTTGATGTCTAATATGTTTATGTCCTTTTATGTATTACAGTCTACAATTCCCCAAGTAGCTTATGAATCTACTATTGAACCCATGGTAGAAGCAGTTCAGATAAATAAATTAATAACATTCTCCATTCCATGTACAAATTTCTTACGGTTGTACATTGTAGGACAATGTTGAGAGGTCGATTGAGGGCACAGAGGCCGAGGTTGTACCGAAGCCGAAAAAAGTCCAACAAAAAAGGTTACATGAGCATATTGTATTATTTTGTACTATTAAATATGTGATGGCTAACACGTTTAAACTACCTTAGACTGGACGGGGTAAAAAATCTACTGCCGTTGGTCCCATGGTGAAAGGAGGAGAGGTAAATACATTTATAATCATATTATTTGCTGTTCCTTATCTTCTAAATGTCATTAACATTGTAGGATGCTGTTGGAGGGTCGGTTGAAGCCACAGAGGAGGGAGGTATGCCTAACCCGACAGCAGTACAACAAAGAAAGGTAAGCCTAGTTTTCTGTATTATTTTTTTACTACTGTTTATGTAAAGACTAACCAATTTCAATTTGTTAGAGTGGACGTCTTCAGAACTCTACTACCACCATCCAACCTGATGGCTTCTTACGCTACAGCAAACGATCGCGTCAGAGTCCTGATAGGTACACCCCATCTGAAGGAGGTCGTAAGCCAGAACAAGCGAAACGAACTCGGCTTAACGCAAAGGCGCAGGTCGAATGCCCTAGACAACCTACTGCAGTATCAGAGACTACAGGTTTTGTGGGTGGTTTTACACCATTGCTCCCCCCAAATCCTACTAGACGGATTGCATTCCTCAAGGCTATGGAGCATGCTAAGTAAGTTTTAAGTACATTGTTTAATAGATTTCAAAATATAGTTTACACTGATGTAAGTCCATTCCATTCCAAATGGTTTATGAAATATAAAGTATAATGCATTACCGTGCTTTTGAGATTGTATGGAGTGGGATAATAACAGTAATTATTATTGTCCAGGAATCAGCAACCCTCTGAACGTGACAGCTTTCAAACTGACACGTTAATGTCTTTCTTCGACTGCACCAAGGTGGCTTCTGAGAAGGTCTGCACCCTCTACGATATTTTTATTAATTTTTTTTTTGCATTTTAATTTAAGTTTTTAATCTTGTAAAACTTATGGTTATAGGCAGTTGATCATGTCCTGGAATACATCCGGAAGCGCAGGGATGGTCTCCCGCAGTGTAGATTTGACTTCCTTGACGCCTCCTTTGTTGCTGAGCTCATTCGTAGCTACATGGAGTTTAATGCCTGCCTAGCTAAGGGTTCTTTCTCCTTCTCACCGTGTTTGCAGCAACCGTTTATAAAACGCCCTCAATGGTTCAAGAAGGTTGATGTCGTCTACATTCCCGTGATTGTAAAGAAAATCTACTGGGTTGGTCTTGTTGTTGATCTCAATGTCTGGGCGATGTATGTTGTTGCATCAAACACCGCTTGTCCTTCCGAGTTAGATCTTGCTTCTGTGGTAACACCACTTTCGATTCTCCTCCCTTACCTGATAGGTCGGTACAGAAACTCTAACAAGGCGCAAGAACTCAATTTCGCACCCATGACTATTTCCCGTCTCGACATTTCTGCACTCGAAGAGCATCCATGTCAGTGTACACGTTTATGTTCATTCTTCTATTAGTAAACACTGTCAAGTCTTGATGTATTTGGCTTAAATAGGTTGTTCAGCTGTGGTGACCCTCATGTTGTTAGAGATGCACGCTGTAGGAAAGTCGATGAATTCTCCTCATTTCAGTGAAGAGCAGGTAAAGACAGCTGCCGAGAATTATGCAATTGAAGCACTTCAGCTGTATCAGCCCGGGAAACTTCCTCGTGCTGAGTAGTGCTGAGTAGTACCTACTAGTTTCTTTTCCTTATATAAAGCTATGTATAATATTCCTTTCTCTGTTTACCTACAAACATCTATGTTCATTGCCAGGCTTTTCATGTTTTGTTATTTAAATGGAATACAACTTATGTGTACTAGTAACTATTCCATCAACTAGTATTCTATTCCATTTACATTTTCACTATGTCTTACATATACGATCTCAAACGAAATACCCTTCACAGTGTTCAGTAATTTTAGTGGAATAGAATATATATATATAGAATAGCTCATTTTTACATATCATGTCATGTGGAACTGCTTTGGAATTTAGGTTTCATACGGTTTTGCCCATGGGTTCCCTCATCCATTGGGGGGGGGGGGTTTGTTTAGTTTTGAACATCGGGGAGAATGGGTATTGAAGATGTTGTCCCGCTTTCCTCTATGTTCCTTTGACGGCTTGTCTTATTCATGGTTGCTTTAAAGAATATAGAATTGAACATTAATATCCTATACGGTATATGATAACCATATGTAAATTTAAGTTCCATGTTGAACAGTTTGAAAAAATAGAATAGTTGGAATCGAAATAGAATAGTTGTTTCCATGATTCCATAATACGAAGATTGGCATCATTTCATTTACACAAAAGACAAGGCATGCAGCTGTTCCTTACAACAAACATAGTGTTCCTGCTTCGTGGGTTATATCTTACATACGATGTAACATGATAAATACACTCATATATGTATATGTACATATATGGGTGTATTTGTTAACAAAAGCAACATCTTCCCATTGTCTATATTATCATATAGNACGAAGATTGGCATCATTTCATTTACACAAAAGACAAGGCATGCAGCTGTTCCTTACAACAAACATAGTGTTCCTGCTTCGTGGGTTATATCTTACATACGATGTAACATGATAAATACACTCATATATGTATATGTACATATATGGGTGTATTTGTTAACAAAAGCAACATCTTCCCATTGTCTATATTATCATATAGTCCCAAGTGTTAACACCACAAGGGCTCCTGCTTATAGCACACATTTAACAAAATATAGCTTCTTCATGCCTTCTGATGCCATCTCCTCTTCCCAACTTATTTATATAGGATTGCGGCAAGCTGCCTTGTTGTGCCCCGTCCGGCGACAACGTTTGCAACGCCTGTTTGATGAAGATTCCCCAGATCTCTGCAAAGTTTGTTTCTCAAAAGTTACAATTTTATTCCATATGAATCTAATCCATATATAATTCTCCCAATCTAACCTAAAAATTTGATGAATATTATTGAACCTAGCGCTTCTGCACTTATCGATATCTATTCAAACTATGTTTGTAAAAAAGTTCAATTTCCATTCCATGTCAATCTAATCCATATTTCAATTTCCCAATTTACCATATCCATTTCATGATCATTATTGAACCTACAGATAGTGCACTTCTGGCGCTCTCTGCTAACTATGTTTTTATAACCTTTCTATTTCTATGCAATGTTACTTAAATCCATATATAATTCTCACAATCTATACTTAAAATTTCATCAATGTCATTCATTGGCCAGATTGTGTGGAGATACTTACCTTGAACTCCCCACGAGACTTTATGCGAACCTTCCTAGGACGCCCAGATGGCCTACGAACATCGGGGGGGGGGGGAAGTTCACCTGTGCTACAAGACCCTATTTCCACTCCCCCAACTGACGGGACAGGGTAAATTTTTCCAGTAAAACCTTGTCGCCATGTTGTCACACGATATGCTGGTGCCACCAATGCATCAGATGGGAAGCCAACCCTCGCTGCTGCTGCTAGGGCATGGGCACAGGGGATGCCAATTTCGTCATACTCTCTACACGAGCAGCTCCCAGCACCTAAGTTAACGGTGAAGCACTCTCCCCTTGTGTCCTGCACTTGGAACTCTAGATCTCCTATGTCACGTACAGCTAAAGCAGTTGAGTGGTCGTAGTTTTCTTCAACAAGTTTACGGACGTTTGGTGTCAATGTTCCCGTCTCGTTGTTAGCTTTTGCTCGACGATATGCAAACCAACCCATCACTGTTGTATGTATGTACTCAAACATCGTGATCAGTGGGTACTCTCTTGCCTCCTTAATGGCACTATTCCATGATTCAGCTATGTTTGAGTCCATTATAATGTACCTTAGACCTTTGAAATGTGCTCTTGTCCAGTGCTCAAAGCCTGCAATCAAGGGTTGCTTGTCAGATGAAAATGCAAATGGAATAGAACAATAGTATATTAAATAGAATAGCGTAGGTATGTTTCTATATGGAATAGTTGAGACCTATGTCGACCAGATATGCAGCACATGCAGGGTTAATTTTCTGAATGTGGATGAACAGCCTATTAAATTCTGTTAGTGTGAATGCTCGAGCTGCAGCTGACATTAGATTTGCAAGTCTCTTCGTCTTATATTTGGCTTGCACATTGCGCCAAAGGTGTACCACACAGGCTGCGTGCTCGGCTACTTTGTACACCTGTTTGTCATAACTATACTATTAGAATATGGTATATGAATAAATAATTGCCCTTCTATGTAGAAATATAATAGAAAAGATATATTTATGTATCGTCTGTTTTCCGATGTTTACCTTTCGGAGTCCGCTGTAAATGCTAGCATGTCTATCTGAGATAAGACAAGTTCAGGGCAGTCAGGGACAAAAGTGCTTAGCTTCTCGAAAAACCACTCCCAAGAACTATCGTTTTCACTGTCAACCACAGCAAAAGCTAATGGAAATACTTGGAAGTTTCCGTCTTGGGCTGCTGCGGATAAGAGGCATCCGCCAAACTTTCCTTTCAAGGATGTCCCATCAACTATGACAACTTTCCTCATGAAAGCATAACCAGCTACTGATGCTCCATAGGCAACAAAGCAGTATTTAAAGCGTGTTTCCCCCTTTGTGTCATCGTTTTGCTCTAAATAGCAAAGTGTACCTTCATTTGAGGATTGCAGAAGTCCAAGATAAGCTGGAATGAGGGAATAGCTTCCCACCATTCTCCCCATTGCATGTTCCATGGCCAGCTCCCTTGAGCGCCAAGCTTTCCAATATGAGACATTCACATGAAATTCGTCAAGCAATATTTTCCTTACTGCAGCAGCAGTTGGTCCCTTCTTTATTCCAACAAAGCGAGATTGAAGTAGTTGGCCAATGACTTGTGTTGTCGCGAGTCTGTGAAAGTTACGTCGCTCGTGAACATTACATGTATGTATGAGGCTAGCCTGCCGAACTTGGAAGTTACCAGTTGCATCTAACAACATCGCATATACCCGCCATGGACATGTTTGGCCAACGCATTCAACCACAAGCAGTGAGTTATTAGATCGGGTGGTCTTGAAGTGGAACTTCCTATTTATTGCATGTATTGCCAGCTTTATTTTTCAGTCAGCTTTGGATCTGAACACACGCCCTACAAATATCTCATCTCCCTCGTAATGAACGTCAACTATGGCCGACTCGACACCTACATAGGACCAACATATAGATAAGATTTAACATGAGCATAGTGCACACGTCGAATATCCAAGGTCATAAACAAATACAAGAAGTATGCATATCGCTTTACAACCCACCTGATACTGGTCGGGCATTGAAAACCGGAGGTGCATCCCTACCAAGTAAGGCAGCATGCTGTGGGTCATTCAACATTTCGTGAAGTGCTTCATCAAATCTTCCCCACTAGAGACCATCATCAGTTGGGATATCTATTCCATGGTCTGAAGTAGACGAGCTATGTTTACCTTCTCCAACTATGGCGGGTATTCCAGGATTTCCAAATGATAAACGGCGCCGAACCGGATATTTAGATCCGCCTTGAACAGCAACCGAAGTTCCCAATACGGGGACGAGGATAGCATCATCGGAGTCGGAGTCACTCTCGGTGCTTGAATCAATAGGCATTTTGTTCTTTCCCTTGTCATTCGCATCCGTCGCAGGACTTCTGAGACGACTCACGTGGTTGGGTTCTCGGATTGCTATTCCACCTGAGGGATATGGAATAGAACGGCTTATAGGTGCACCTATTCTATTTCCAGGTGGTGGAATAGGTGATTGGGCCAATTCAGCGATGTTTGTTTGTTCTGTCTCCTTTGTCTGAGGAAGTGTCAATGGGGTCTCCGACATTGCAAACTCATGCCATGATTCCTCTAATGTTGCACCCGCCCCCGCTTCAGTCGGCCGGGCAGCGATTCGTGGGAAGACATCAGCTGCATTACCCGCGTACTGCAGTCCGCTGTCCATGTTGACTAATGAGACGAACAAATTAACCTCTTCTAAGACTCTTCTCATCTCGATGAATGCTACAACTTCCTTGTCTTCTGTTATGTATTGAGGGAGATTCAGCTCTTCATCATCGAATGACACCCAATCTGGGTACTGATATGAAAGTTTCATTGTCACTCCATTACGGGTTATTTGTAGGCGTTCTCTAACCATTGTAACTAACTCGCGCATTGTCATCCCCGTATGGAGGCGGATGTAGGGCTAGACGTGAATATTTATGTCTGGTTCGAAAACCCATCTTTGGTATTGGTCACGGACCCATGATCCAAGAACCAGAAACACTCTATCTTGACTCGTCATCTGCAGTAATAAGTAAAGGGTAAATCTATAAGTAGCAGATTTCTATTTCTATTCCATAAAAATTTACATTTAATGTTATTCCAACACCTAACCAGCAAACTTATCTGAAACACCATTAATTACAGAAACCTGAGAGTAAATTACTTGCTAGTCTCTATGTTGCATTAACTACTTCTCCTGATTCACTTCCTTCTTTTAGATGCTTTCAAATGGAGTTACAGTGTTAGTGATATGAAATACATTTATGAATAAAAGGTGCCTTTTTATGTTACACCACATGTTTAAACTGAACACAGTGAAAATATCTCGGTAACTCCAATGCGGTACGTGGCTTTTTCCTTCCCATTAAATGGAATAGATGTGTCAAAATAATGTCCATATATTGGGCAGTATGCGTCATTTTCTCCTAAGAACACGTAATGGCCTCTCAAACGGAAAAAGTCATGGCATCCCAACCGCACATATCATAAAACGCTTTTGTCCTAGTTTTCCAAATGGAATACACGTGTTCCAATTTTGGCCATATATTCCATAACACGATGTGTCCCCACGCAGACCTCATTTTCTATATGTAACAGGGTCTATTTAGAGTCATGACGTCCCTTTGTATTACGTCATCTATTAAGTGGTGTTGTACTCCTTCCTGAAGATCTTTATTTCTTGTTAGAAAATGCTTGTTTAAGTAAAACTTCCACCCATATACCATATTACACATGAGATGGAATATAATTATTATAGTACTATACTATTTTGTTATATACTACACGGTTACATGGAACGGACAGGCCATGTTATGAGTAACTTAAACTTGGCATCCTTTCATTTATGCAAATTTTTTCATGCCACTGGATGATCGAACAACACACATATTGTCTTCACTTATGGGTCATGTTCCGGGTCTATGTACATGTATACCTTCCCTCTGTATATTCTATTACACCATTTATAATGCTTTATGGGCATATATGTGTAGGTTGGACTTACTTTTAATATCAACTGTACACGTCCTAAGTCCCCCATATCTGTATTTCATGGTAGTACAGTACTATACTATTTTGGTAAGCTTGATTGGAATATAATTAATACAGTACTATTTATATGGAATAGCATTGGTATGGTACTATACTATTGTGGTGTGTTCTACACTTTTACTTAAACTTGGATGTTCCGTACAACACACATATCGTCTGTAATTACATGGGTCATATATGGCTTACTATATACATCACAAACACAGACATATATGTCAACTTTGCATATATATCTGTATTTTTCATTAAAAAAAAATAACATTCCGTCTTCAAGCTTTTTCAAACCATTCCTTCTACTTCGATGTACTTCTACTACCATGCCTTCAGCTTATATCACACAGTTTACAAAATAGTTCTTCTACGACCAAGTTCAACTATAATGCCTTCCGCTTATATGACCCAGCTTAAAACCTATTCCTTCTACCTGCCTTCAGATGCCATATCTAGTTGGTTACTTATTACATAGTGTTATGGCAACAAGCCGTGTTGTGCCCATACTGGCCACAACGCCTGCAGCGCTCCATAGAAGAACCACTTTCAGTATTCTGGAAGGTTGTCATAATGTTATGTTAGTTGCCATATTATTTCAAATATTTTCTCATACCACTCACGCTTTCTAACAACGAATGACAAATCTAGTCAATAGTTGGACCCTTAGTGAACAATCTATTTGTTACCATTCAGATAAAGGCTAAGTCTATAAATTCCTTACTATTGAGTAATTTGTTACCTTGACTCCCGACGTCATTGAAGTAAAGGTCTTCACAAGCATGTTCTCGTTTTTCCCTTCACTGGCCAGCTGCATTTGACTCGATACCATGTCTTCCGCGAAACAGATCTCCTCTCCCTTCTCATGTACGTCACATCCTTCGAAGTGTATACATACAGAGGGGTTTAGTGAGAATACTTATAGCATATACTATACTATTCGATATATATTTTATTCTATGTGACTGTGTTATTATTATTCATTCAACTTACCAAATTCTTCCTTTCTCGGTGGCTGTTCATGAATCCTCTGTCCTGCTAAAGAAGAACCTCCGCTATCAATACCATCTACCATTGTGTCTATATTCTCAGGCATTCCAAATATTAGGCGGTTCCACATAGGCCTTTTCCCTCCTCTTGATACATCAATTGGTGTTCTCATCACTGGCACAACCATATCATCATCAGAATCAAAGTCCTAGTCAGAGGGAGTTTCAACTCGCATTTTTTTCTTCCCCTTCGCCATAGCCAGTTCAGCAGCAAGGTGTGGAGGAATATTTTGCACATGTTCACGTATTTGAACTCCACCAATTTGATAAGAAACTGTCATGGCAGTTGTAACTTCTATTCCATGCATCCTACCTGGAATAGAACTTCCAGGCTCTTGCTCATACGTCCCTGGTGTATTGGGGTTTTTTTGCGTCATCTTTTCTCTGGTCTCCGCAATTGCAAAGTCATGCCACTCATCATCTTCTATGCCACTGTCCTCTCCCTCATCGGAAGGTCCACCGATTGGTTGCACCATTTTCGAAGCGGTCACGCCATCATTGGTTCCGGCGGTCGGAATGCTGAATGATACATATAAATTAACGGCCTCTATGGATCGTCTTACTTCCATGAACACGGCCACTTCGGCGTCATCAGTAATGTATTTCGGCATATCTAGTTCTCCAGCTTCACCTGAGATCCACTCCGGGTACTGATAAGATAGTTTAAATTTGAAATCCTTTGCCCTTGGGAGTACTTATTAACTCTGACAGCTTCATACCCGTAAAGAGGCCAATGAAATGGTCACATTTAGAACAATCTCCTGGTTTGAAAACCCATCGGTTAGCTGGGTCTCGGTCCCACTCCCCCACCACGAGTAAAACTCTATCTCCACTACTCATCTACGAAACACGTAAACATAGATTCAGTTATTGATCTCTATCTATTCCATTAGATTATACAGACTATTATATTCTATGATGGAACAATCAATTTTACATTAAACCATTTCTATTAGAAAATCATTTTTGTAAGTTTACCTTTTCTTTTGTAAATCCAGATACTCCGTAAGTGTCTTCACCGTTGTTCTTTACCGTTTCTTCAGAATGACTGATATTGGTACTTAGATGGAATACATCTTTTAATGACAGAAGTTTTGATTTAGTCCACAAGATTATCGGTGCACAGTAAAAATATCTTTATTACCTCTATCAATGTACGTGGCTTCTTCCACCTCTTTAATATGGAATAGCTGTTACCCAATATGGGTCATTAACTTCATGCAATACATCATGGCAACTCCCCAATCGCACATTTAATCCTAATTTGATAAACCCATAGCCAAAGACTACAGGTAAATAGTTCAATAGATGATTCCATTCCATACCTCCATTCATCTATTCTATTCCATACTCGTATGCATCCATTCCATTTGCAGGTTAATGGAATATTATAGTCCACTATGTACATGTTCCCCTCCGACTATTGTTTATCATGTGTTTACGTTCATGATTCCATTCCATACCTGCATTCATCTATTCTATTTCATACTCGTTATCATCCATTCCATTTGCAGCTGAGTGGAATATTATAGTCTACTTTGTACATGTTCCCCTCCGACTTTTGTTTATCATGTGTTTCTTATCGCAATACCACTTCCATAGTATGTATAGTCATTAAGGTACGTAGAATGGAATGTTATATAATGTCAAATCACCATTACGTGAACGTTGTTTCGATTAACGCCATATATTTCATATGTGTTGAGCCTATTACCCCACACGCTTCATTAGTTTCGTTATTTAATTTCCCCACAGAAAACAACCACGTCCTTTAATATTTGCATGTAACACCTGTTGAAGGAAGGGGTAAAACCGGATAGAAAACAGCATAAAAGTCAGATACCACATTATATCAAAATCAGTGTCGGATAACTAATTTAGGTGCAAGGTTTGGCTATCTCGCCAATAAGCCCTTTTTAGTTAAAACTAAAAAAAAAAAAAAAGAAGGTAATTTCACGTTTTCTTTATCCTTCGTTCTCTTATTTCTCCTCTCATCTCAACTCTTCCTCTGCTCCTCTCCATTTTTGTTTTCTGAAACACGACAGCGAGATGAGACAGAAAGAGATGAGATATTGAGATTACTGGAGGAAAAAGAAGAGACCGGTCTGAGTTCGTCGCCGTCGTCACCTCCCAAGAACGCCTCTCCCCTCTGCAGCCGAATCCGAACCCAACAGTATCCACAACAACAACCCATCAACGCTCGAAGTAAACGCCGGTGAGATTAACTCCGGCGAGATTAACTTCGGTGAGATTAACTCTCGTCATCAACCCATGTTTTCGATTAGGGTTTCCATTGTTTCAGTTTTAGGGTTTGGATTGGGGCTTTTGCAATTAGGTTCTGGATTTGTTCAGTTTTAGTGTTTTGATTGGGGCTTTGGCGATTAGGGTTTCGATTAGGGTTTTCATTTGAGTATCAATTTCAAGCTGGGTAACTTCTGGGTTCTAGTCACAGGTAATTACGTTATCACTGTGTCGTTAATACCTGCTTGAAATTTTTTAATACTTTGCTTCAACAGTTCTGTGAGACACCTCTTTATGTTGGCTGCTATTAGATTGTGTTGTAAGTATAAAAAAATAAGATGTTCATCAGCTTGTTGCCTACAGTGGCTTAACCTATGATTTTTGGCAGGTGAGGTGGCTGGGATGGTAAAAATGGCTGTCAGATTTGTATGTTATGGACACAAGTAAGACCTTTTATCTCTCGTCTACTTCAGTTTAAAAAAAAAAAAACTGATTCCAGTTTATAATAATGTCAACTTTCTTGGTATCCATTAGTGTCCCTTGAATGGATGGAGCTGTCTGCTTCGGGGTCGTTGCCACCTCCTAGATGTGGTCATACAGCCACCATGGTTGAGAAACGTTTACTTGTTTTTGGTGGCCGAGGTATACTAGAACCAAAATCATTTTTTTTTTGCTTGAGCTGATAACAACTAAACTGCGATTATTGTGTGTGGTATGGTTATCTTTGACAGGAGGTGGTGGCCCTATCATGGGCTTTGAAGGGTCTAATAGATGAAGGTAATTAAATTACTTGAAAATTACATTGGATCTTGTAGGAATGTCCTCTTGTTTTCCTTATTTGTTATGTTATGTTTGCTGATCTTATTGTGGTTTACCTTTGTTGTGCAAGGAAGAGCGTGAAACACCTGGATAGACCCAACTCAAGCCTCCTGGTCAAGCACCATCATCTCGATGTGGTCATACAGTTACATCCGGAGGACATTATGTATGTCTTTTTCAGTTCCTGCTAGCTCTTTTGTGTATGATGAGCTTCGCATGACATACATCGCTCACATCATTAATTTTCTATTTGAAGCTTCTGTTATTGGGGGGACATGGAACTGGTGGATGGCTGAGTCTTATGATGTCTGTTATAGTGACACTATGATTTTGGACAGAGGAAGATTCTTGCTCAGTTGTCTTCTCTGCTCAAGGATCACATCCAAACTCTGCTTTAGTAGTTTATTCCAATGGCTTTTCCTTAGCTAATTCTTTTCTTCTTCTTTTTTTTTGTTTGGTATGCTGTAACAACCAAGGCGTGGCTGCTGGCTGCTTTGAGATTTGCAAAGAAGGCGGTGAAATCATTCAGTCTTTGGTACGGTTCATTCTCACTCTTCAAAGTCGCATGTAAAGTGAAAACACTTGCGTGAATGGCTTGTTTCATTTGAGTTAAATTTTTTTCACTTGTTCCTACTAATTCTCATAGCACAGTTTGTTCGATGATACACTATAGAACCACAGCCACGACAACAAGCAGATGCTGAAGTGATGCGGAGGAGATCACACGAGTAGAGTGCAGAGACACATTTTTTTAACGAGGAGTTTTTCAAAGAAATAACTCAGCTCTTGACTTTAGAGAACTTCAGGTTAAGACTCGTATTTTTCTTAGTGATGGTTTTAAAAACTGAGGTTTAAGTGTTTTGATGAAACTTTTTTAGTTTACTACTTGAAATATGTGATTCTTCTTGATCTATGCAAGGTGTTTACAATGGAGATCCTTGTGTTGTCTTACAAGGTGATCTAGTATATCTCTTCACTAAAAATCACAACACCGAGATGCACATTTTGAGGTTATGTATATAACCCAGGAGAAGGAGACTTCTCGGGATTGTTGGCAATGATATAATCCAAGAGAAGTAGTCTCAGAAGGGTTTTGTATTAGTGGCTCAGATGGGTTGTGTATTAGTGGCAATGATTCTTTCGAGCCTTCTCATGGACTTATGGGATAATTGTAAACAATTTAGGTTTTGGTTTAATTTTTGATTTAGGTTTTGGTTTTGGTTTGTTCTGGTTAATTTGTAAACAATTTCAATATATTAAAATTTTAAAATTTTAAAATTTTATATTTATATTTTTCATTTTTTTCAATTTATTAATAATGTTATAATAACAATTAATCTTTGCTATAATAAGATATTAGATGATAATCCGCGCGCATGCGCTAGGTGAAATTTTTATACTAATATTTATTCATTAAATGGTTTTTAACATTTTGCAATACTAAAGTATTTATCGATTAGAAAATGATGAATATAAATGTTGGTATCTTAAATCATCATAGGTCTGGACGTTTGAGACTTCGTCGCTTTTATTTTGATTGACATGTATTTTTAGATTTTGGTACTATTTTCATAAATCCTATTTGAATTTTACTAATTATCGGATTGGATTCAATTTGATCTTCTCAATTCAGTTTGGATTAGATTGTAACCAATATCTGAAATCATCCCAAAAAACATTTCTTAAACATTAAAAGTTGACAAAAAAATCAAAATATTTAAACTATTAATAAATTTAATTTAAATTTAGTTAAATTATCTAAACAAACTAAAAGATATTAAAAAAAAGAAGCAAATAAAATAAACTACAAAAATCTTTCAAATACTATAATTTGTATCTAGTAACCTCAAACCTTTCCACTGAAATTTTTAAATTAACATATTTATAGTATGAATATCTACTAATGATACGTCATATACGTACGATTTATGATAATTTGTATCTTCTTTGGAAAAAAACAAAGTTAAACCATTGATCATAAAATTTTTAATGTGGGATTTTACTATTTTTAGTTATTTATGGTCGTTTTTAAAAAAAATTAAAAATATAACCTATAAAATTTTTCAATTTTTTATTATATATTTAAATGTGATTGTTTAGTTTATTTTAATAATTTAAAATTAAACAAAAAAGAGAGGATACAAAAAATTTATTATTCATAATCATTAATTACATATATATGTTAATCATATTAGGTAATTCCGTAGCTTTTATTTAAGGAAATAAAATATATTGTTTTATACCTAGCAGAGTTGGTCTCTTAAAAAATGTCTATATATTATAGTCTTAAATGCAAGAAATTAAATGTTACATTATTTCATTCCTAGTAAAGTTGGTACATTAAAAATTATAGCCGAGAAGCTCTGTGAGCTTGACACGTAAGCATGCTCTCCAAGGTTGTGCATTTATGAATGCTTCAGAATTAATATATAAGTGATATTATTGCACAACAACCTAAACGCTATTGAATGGAATATTAAAAATAGTATTAAAAAACGCTATCTAAGGTGTCGAAGAAAAGATTGCGGGGATAGACACAACGTTTGCCATAACGCTGTGTTTCGCTATAATAGCGTTTTTCAGATGTTATATATGTGACATTTTCTTGTAGTGTTTGTTTGTATCTTGGCAAAACCAAAGCAATAACGTTTATCTTCAAGTTACGTTTATGACGAGATGGCTTTGTCACCGAGATCAAGTTTCGAAAGCTATCATGATCTAAAGATAATCGTCTTCCTCTCCAATCTTTACAACTGAAATGGACAAGACGATAAGCTCGTGACGAGATGGCGAGCTTGTGACGAGATGACCAGGAACTTAAAGACGTCGTTACTGGTGGAACTTAAAGGTTGAGCTTTCTTGGAGAGATGATCTGAAGATAAGGTTATGTTTCTCGTGGTGTTTCTTCTTGACCAGGAGCATGTGCTAGTTGCAGCAAGCTTTTCACGACAAGCTTATGGAGAAGAAGATAAGGTATTATCCTTGGCACAAGCTTAACAAGACCAGAACATGATGATGTCTATGGAGAGGATGAGCCATTCGTTTGTCTGATGCCTAGGTGTAGCAGGAGAGCTTGATGAAGACGTAAGAGCTCTATGCTACAAAGCTTGCGTCTTTAGCAGAGTTTGGAGATGAAAGCGTTGAAGTGTCTCATGTCGCAGCTAATATCATACAGTCGTGTTCTCGAACTCGTTTGTAGCTAGTTATCTCATAAATGTTATAAGACACTTATCTTTAGCGTGGATAGGAATTTTTTTGAGGCGAACCCGATGTTGTGGTCATGTCTCTTGGGAGAGCTTTAGTGAAATAAATTCGAGAGGTTGATACCATAACACCTTCACCAAAGCTTCTTTACTCCAAGATAAGATCTGAGCTCTGTTTGTCACTCAGGCCTTTAAACTGCTCTAGAGATCACGACTGAGCTTGAGCTTGTTCTCGTCTAGGGAAGAGCCGTCTCGGAACTAAGGGAAGACCCGTGGAGAGGAAATCTGATAACTTTCTTGAGATCATGACTGAGCTTGAGAGCTTGAGCTTGTTCTATTGAACTCTTCTTATCTCAGGGTTGTATCTGTTCGTCAAGCTTGCAATGAGATAACCTCGGAGACGATGCATTCAAATTCACCGCCAGACCCGACCAAACACATGATGGCTTTACTAGATCAGATCTTCCTCTCTAGCGACAAATCTCAAGAAAGACCAGAACTGATGATGTCCCAAAGATTATCCCGCAGGGATTCTCGTCTGTGCCATCAGGAACAAGGAGAAGCCAACCCTGGCGAACTGGTTGTCGAGGAGAGAAGCTCGATGTGTGTCAGTCGACAAGTTCTTGAAGAGAAGCTTGAACCCAGCAAGTTTGATTACAAGACAAGATCAAAGCTTCATTTGTGAGTCCGAGCTAGGGCTCTTTGGTGTTGATGGAGCTTGAAGAAGCACATCGTTTGATGAGTGTGTCATTCACAAGAACGAGATTCCGTCAACCCCATGAAATGAACGCTGAGGTGATGAGGGGATTGGTTCATCATCTCCGCTCTAGCTAAAAACAAATTGAATGTATCACGGCTGTATCATGGTCACCGAGTTCGTTGAGCTCAGTTTGCTGTGTTGGTCAGCTCCTCTCAACCCTCTCTCGCTCTGTCTCTTCTTGGGATGATGATGAAACTTGGGTTTCTTGTTAACCGGTTCTGTATGAAGAACAGAGTTGCTAGAGATGTTTCCTTTTGTGCCGACATGTTGGGTGCGGTGAAATCTTGTCAGGCAGAGATGCTTGTGCCGGTTACACTGAAGAATGGTACGTGTACCTCGCGAGAGGAAGGGAGTATATAAGCAAAAGGCAGAAGACATAAGCAAAAAAAGACGAGTTTTCAGAGCTTTCACCACTAAACTTATCACTTAGGGTTTTTTCCGTTTTTGTTATCGAGCTGCGCCTCAACTAGGGTTTTAGTCTTAGGCTGCTAGGGTTAGGGATCTCGCCAACAGCTCGCGTGGCTAAGGCTTACTCTGGTTGTACCATTCTTACGCAGATTTGGAATAAGACTTTTTTCTTTCTCAATCTCGTTATTTACATCTTTATTTCATACTTGTCGTGTTCTTGATTGTTCTTGTGCGGTTCCGAAGATAGCCGGGTCCTCTGGGAAATTAGGGTTTACTCTAAGTTCCCATATTTACGTAATCTTGACATTAGATGAATTTCGGTTCCCACAGTTTGGCGCTAGAAGGAGGGGGGGGGGTCGAATCTATCTTACACTCAAGCCGCAGCACGCTCAATCAAGAAACGATGACTGGTGACAACCAAATTCGCGACGAAAGCGATAACGTTAAAAAAACACCACCACCACAAGATGTGTCCGCGGACAACGCTACAAACGCTAACGTCGAGACCATCGAAAAGATGCTCTCCGACTTTAACAAAAAATTGGAAGAGCAAGAAAAGCTCATTGGTTCACTCGCAAAATAGGTCAAAACCCTAACTGCGAAAACCAGAGCGATTCGCCCCCGCGGAACTACTAAGATCCGCGGAAGGAGGCTCGATTTCGTGACTCCTATGGATCGTCCCAGATCCGAGTAGGGTAACTTACCGGAGAAAGACTCCGAAAAAGATAACCTTAACACGACACTGAACGAATCGGACAAATCTTGTACTCGCAGATAGGAGACCGAGGAAGACGGCATCGAAAGAGTTAACCTGGAAACAAGTGACCAAGCCGACTCGTAGAACGAGGACGCAGACATTCATCCTAGGAGAAGGAAAACTCGCAGCCTTCTACCGGAGTCTTCTCTCGAGCGTTCTCTTACTGGA